AAAAAGAAAAGAAGAGCTGCTGGAAGAATGGAAAAAAAACTTCCCAAAATAAACATGTTCTTTCAAAGAACCGAAGAGGGAGAGGTGGACGTTGCTGCTACAGCACATGTACTTCATATGCCCACCCAGTTAATGTTGCTTATGGGCCTATTGTTTTGTCGTTATGCCATTGGTTACTCTCCAACTTTGCCTGTGTTACCATTAGCCTCTAATACCTTTACAACCTAACAGGAGTAATGGGTAAGAGTATCTGGTTCGTTTTGATGCTATACTATTAGGTAGCTGACTGAGCCATCAGCGGATTAAACTGTTTGGTTTGAGCTGTTCATCTGGGAAGTGCAGAGTTAGTGATGAGGAGACCGACATAACACTATTGGGTTTTCTATGTCCTCGAAACTTATATTTAGACCAATATTGTTAGCTTGCATCATCTGGGAGATTTACTACTAAGGTGTATCAGATACATAAGGTTGGCTGAATGTTAAAGATTGTTCTGAAACATTACCATCATAATGTTAGTTTGCATATGCCACCATTTGGCATTTGTACTCTTAACAATGCTGGAAGTTTGCCTCAAAAAGAAAAATGAAACTAGGTAGGATTAATTTGCGGCTTCAGTAAAGGGCTCTCTATGCAGATTGTTGATCATAATTAAAGTGAAATAGTTTTAGATCAGGGTTTAAAAGAGCAAAATGTTTTTTGTTTTTTTTGCAGAAATAACATAGTGAAACGGTAAAAAGAAAAAAAAGAAGCTACTGTTCAAAAACATCATCTTAAATCATTCTGAATCGGTAAAAAGCAAAATCTTTCTAACAAATACAGGGGATTAAATAATTGCTTTTTTTTTTTTTTTTTAGATGCATTAAAAGAAGAATTACTTTTTTTGCATGCATTATTCTCCAATGCACCAGCGAAATGATGTTAGTCCTCAGATTAAAAGAATGCAGTTGCACTGTAAAAGAAAAGTTAAGTAAAAACCAAAACAAAAATAAAAGAAATCAAGCTGTATTTATGTATGCCCTGTATATACTAATATTGATAAAGCTGAACTGTATTTGGTTAAGGCAAAAGGGCAATATGTGCATTTTTTAAAATGACATATATTGGGAACATGACAACATTTACTACGCTAAGAAGGGCTTTGCATTAACTGCAAGATGGTTAGAGCTTGAAACATCTTGTATTATTTCAATAAGAATCATTTTGCTTTAAATAAATTGGGCATTCTTGTGCCAATTATTATTCTGCAATGTCTAATTCTACCTTTTGAATGATAACATTGAATAAGATACATTTTTTACAGCATTTAACATGTTTCATTTATTGCAGTTATTCTTTCCAGCATTAATCAACACTAGATCCAGAACCAACCTGTAGTCTTAAACTCACTGACTCAGCCAAGATGTAATCAGCTATCTGCTGCATGTCGGAAGATGGGGGAGGGAACTTACTCAGTCCTTTATTGGCCCTCTAATTATTTCTCACATCACATGATTAATATTGTCACTTTGATTTAGTTCTGAGCTCCTTAGATGAAAGAGTCTGTGACAGAGGACACTGCTTCTACAGCAATAGGTCGGTGATGTTTCCTGCCTGATCATTTCTGGGCCGGTGAGACACCTCCATCCTCTAGAGTGAGAGGGCTTTGAGTCAGGATGCTGGAGTCCAGCCTGCTGGCTTGTGGAGACTAGGTCTGCAACTGTGGCCAGGTTTTTTCCTAAACAGAAACTGGTAGTAGGATGCCGCTGGTGTTTAAGCTGCAGTCAGAGTGCCAGTGGATCCCCTCCAGAACTAACAAGCCTGTTTATTTCAAGAAAAGCCCCCACAAAAGCCAATACTCAATATGCAGCTCAGAGCCACAGATGTGGATCAGAACATGCAACGAGGAAAGGTCTCTAGTGGATTTCGAGTTAACCTTCAGAAATGTGCTTTTGATGAAAGGGAATCTGAGATAAACTGCGTTTTAATCAAGGAATACTTTGTGAAAATGTGTCTGAAAATGTTCAACCAATTGTAGATATCAAAGTGTAATAATGTTTGTAATTTACAAGCTGCAAGTTGAGTGTGTTAAAACAGCTCCAGAGCAGTTCATTAAATGTGATCTTCATTAGAAAATGGAACATGCTGTTTTATTTGCATACGCTAATATCATGAACCTCACTGTTATTGCCTTCTGATGAAGCTCAGGTAATTTGGTTAAAACCTTAACTTCCATTAAATTATTATCTCCATTACTGTACAAGGTAATCTGTAAACTGTTTTAGTTTAATAACAAAAACCCAAATTCCTATTTTGCATTTTAATGTGATATTTGGACTTTAATGTAATTCTTTTGTAGCTTACAAAGGGATTAAATCTAAACCCAGACTAATTTAAGTTACGGTACCATTATTTTTCTCTTTTGTACATACAATATAGGGGGGCTATTTGTCAGAAGAGCAAAATCTTAGTTTTTGCATTTCTTAGATATTAAGAACCAATGTTACCATGATAAGGACTTCTGACTCAAAATGGATTTCAGGTCATGATGTTAAACTCATCAATCAATTATAAATCTGGCAAAAATAAAACAGGTGTGATGTTTTAATTTGAGCATACTTATTCAGATTCCACACCAGGTCTCAGATTGTTTATGCACGCTTCTTTCTGTGTGAAATTAAAATGCATCAGAATAAAATCATTCTGGTTTTGAGATTCAGAAATTTATACTAGAGAAAAAATATTTAGCATTGACTTATTTTAACAAATTTAATTTTGTTTCATGTTTAACTGTTACACTTTTAGTTTTGATATGAGAGAAGATATGGGGAGAGGAAATGAGAGAGAATAATTGCATAAATATTCTGTATGTTTTCGTAGGTGTTTCAATGCAAAAGATTATGTAAACCATAAAGCTGAAAAACTGGCAGGATGGTAATGAGATTATTGAGAAATCGTTTTTTTTTTTCAGAAGGATAATCACGGCATGTAACAATAATAATTAATGTTTGTCATTGGTTGCTTTGTAAAAGAGCAAAGAACTGATAAGAATGATATTGAAGGTGAAAGAATTGTTTTTTTTTCTCTCAGAAAAGTATCCCATGATGGGTTTGACTGGCTATGTGGAGATGCTGCAGCCAGCGTTGCTGTTGCTGCTAATGTAGGGCTTCATCTTTATGGTGATTATTGGGCTTTCAAAAGTACAGGTCTGCAGATACAACTCCGGTCTGACAAATGGATTCCTCTGAGACAATTATATGTCTTAGTTGTTAGTTTCAAGTTTAGTCTATGTCACAAATGGGGAGTTTGATTGAAACAAGATCAGGTGAGGTGGGATTAAATATAGCTATTGTTTCTATGACCTATTTTTAGTCTGAGTTGAAGAAATATCAGATTAACACGAACTTTACAAAGTTTTGTAGTTGCAGGCAATGATAATAGTATTATATAGAAAATATGGGGAAGCTAAGAGCCAATATTAAGATTGATGCATTTAAATATGGGCATGGTCTTGGCTGTGAGTGACAAATGGACTGACAGCAGCAATGGCAATTTAGCGATCAGGAGTTTTTTGCAAAGGAGCAGCGGTGTCTGGCGGAAGATGGGGGGGTTCTGGCTCTAGAGATCCCTCGATGACTGGATATTTCATTCATGGATTACAGGATTATCCTAATTTGGTGAATGAGAAGATTGAAGTTGGAAGAACTCTTGTCTGAAATAATAAATCTTACTAAAGTCCATAACAGAAGGCAAAAGTTGTGACAACTCAAAAATCTCTTGCATCATGTTGCATTAATTTTTTGTTTTTTTGTTTTCACATGTATGCGGAAGAGAAATATGCTTTAAAACCCCATAGCCATACATGAGGGAAAAATGAGTGTCAAGATCAATCTTTTGTTTTGTATATAAATACATGCTACAGCTTAATTGGTTTATTTGTAAAAAGAAAAAAAAAATGAAGCCATATAGTATTTTTTTCCTTCCACTTTATAATTGGAATCTACATTTTATTTTTCTGTGCAGTTTAAAAAAAGGATGAAAGGAAATCTGTAGCAGAAAGCATGTTCTATTTAGATTGTTTCTTAAACATTTTTTCCTTGCTTTTAAAACACTGGCTTCCTTTTTGTACTAGCTGCACTCAAGGAATATATATCTGCCCTTTACCCTTAAACAAAGAGCTTCAGTTTGTCCAAGAGTAAATGCATATACTGAATAATTTTATTTTGCATGTTAGGACCTGTATCGTAATAGTAATTCTCATTGGTCTGCCCTGATATTGAGGTCAGCATGTCTTGAAACAGACTGAAGAGATCAGGTGTGTGTAAGATGTTGCCTTTTTAAGATGGGGCTGAGCTTTCCCTGGGGAAATCAGCTTAGCTTCATGTTGATGTGGATCTTATAAGAAGCTGTTTGCCTGAATCTCTGTTTTGTATTAATTATAGTACAAAGGCAGGTAGCCATTTACTTTGGACTGATATATATACACAATTACACAATACAGCACACTCAAAGATCCCACCAAGGAAAGCCTTTTTTTTTTCTTAATGAAAATGTCCGTCATAGTGAATTGTCTCAACCAGAGAAAGATAAACCATACATGGTAAAATGTTGAAGGGTCATTTTAGGTTACACGACATTGCCCACCACAGTTTGGCGTCTCCTGCCTACCGAGCCAATCACAGACAAGGACTCTGTGATGCAGTTCACCTCTTACTGGAGGGATTCCGAGGAACTGCTGCGTGACGATGCTTGAGCTTAAACAGCTCAGCCTCTCCTGACTCTCACACCTCCTCATCACCCCCACCTTTAGTTTTTTTTTTCTTGTTTTATTTTCCAAGCTGTGCCAGAGGTGTCCCAGCTGTGAATGTGTCTGAACAGGATGAATATGTAGCACTGTCCACACGGCTTCCTCCAGTCTGGGTATACAGGCAGCAGACAGTCATCAACCAGCTCTCCTCATCTCCGAGTTAGGCTCCACCTCTCACTTTCCCTCCCAGCTCTCTCTCCATCTTCCTCTCAGCATCCCACATACACACAGCATACACACAGTATTATACACACACCCTCTCTCCCAGACTCCCCAATCCATACGAGCGCGCCTTCTGATCAGGGCCAGCAGCTTTGGAGCTGAAGGTGTGCAGCTGTTGCCAGGTAGGAAAACACATTATTTTACAGCTTACCCTGGAAGTTAAATAGTAAAGTGTTTTTCTTAGTACATATTAGGCGATTTGTTTGCTGGTATTGATGGTACATCACTAGAGCTACTATTTACTCCAACTCCCTGTCGTTCTTCTTGACACCATATTTGGCGCCTGTTTTTGCACTTTAAGTTTTTGGTTCCTGTATGCGCTCAGGGGCTGCTGGAGGTAAAGGGTGGAGTGCAACAGCTGATAGCCACGCTGCCTGAAATAAAACACGTTTCTAGTTGTGAAGAGAGTCTACGATGAGTATGTGTGGGCAGATGAAAGGAAGAGGGGAGGGGATGTCAGAAGGAAGAGGAGCAGCTGTTTTCATCCTATAGAAGCGAATCTGCCCGTTTGTTCTTTGTCCATCTGATAGTCTGAGATCAGAGCTCTGGCATTTTCGTTTTCTCCTTCCTCCATCATTTAGTTGTGATGGGTTTATCTTGAGACGGAAGAGAAAGTGGCAAGCTGTTGATTCGGAAATGAGCTGTAGTGCCATATGACAAGCATGAAGATTTTCCTCTTGCAACAGTTTGTGCCTAATTATACATCTCACTTTATTTTGCTCCCTTTTGTCCCGGAAGCCGATAAGACTGAAATGCCAATTTCTTTTAACTGGTTACCGAGGATCTCTGCTGTTGTTGTGATTGGTGGGAACCCCCCTTGCTGTAAAGGAGGCTTATCACCTCCCACAGGTTTTAGTGATGGAGCGCCGATTGGCTGTTGCACAGTGCACATGGAGCGGGTCTCTCCAGAGTCTGTACAAACAACGTCAAGCAAATCCATGGTGACTGCTGTGCATGCTCTACTGGGAATTGTTAAAAGCAGATGGCCTATCGCCCTCTTCTCCCAGATTACCTGATAACTCTGAAAGCGTGATCAGATGGTGTTGGGGGAGTGGGTTGGGTTGCTTTAGTAGCTGCATATCCTGCTGCTTTGAATACATTTTGCAGGAGGCTCCGATGTGTCACACTGTTACCAGGTGACTGAAAGCGTGTCAGCAAGGCAACACTGTGTGCTTCCACTAACCATGTCTAAATGACCCTTGGTTTGCTTCTCTAGGTAGAAATTGTGTTTGCTCCCCTATAAATGGCAAACAAGCCTATGTCCTAGAACTATCTGTGGTGCTGTTGAAGTTTAGCACCTTCTTTGACCATAGAAAGTTTCTACTCAATTTTCACTGGTTCCTGCTACAGTCTTCATCATATGTCTTTAGGAATGTATCTGACCAACACAAAGTGGCAAATGACACATGCTTTTTAAATTAATGACATGAATTTATTATAAAATCATGACATTATTTGAAAACGGAAGACAGAGGATCTCAAAATGACGTAGTGTAGCGGCACAAACCAGAAAGCTACAGTAAGGAAGAATTTAAATGCGAGCTTTTTAAATTTTAAAGGTTTGAGTAAAAAATTCAAATGCTGCTTCTGTGAACTAAAAATCCCGATAGGGTTTTATTAAAACACTAAATAAAATATTTGCATATCACCACAAAAACTTTCATGGTTGCTAATTAATTAGACTGCATAGATAAAAGGCTTTAACTAACACAAATTAAAGAGCTACGAGGGAACCATACGAGGTAGATACTCCAAATTAATATATGTTTTTCTTTTTCCTTCATTTTATTATAAGATTGTAACCTTTTATCACTCTGCATCTTTAGACTGGATAACACTTATTCTTGCTATCCAAAACACTGTTACAAAGACAGTAAAATTTGTTTAAGCATTTTTATTTTTTTATGTTATTTTTTATTAGGGACATGAAAGCTGGTCTGAGTTAGTGGGAAATTGGATTGAGCTAAACATTGGGCTTTTTTGAAAGAAAACCAGCAAAAAACGAAAGTCTTTAGTAAAGATTTAATATCATGCAAAACTATCTTTATGATGTTGGCCTCACCCAGAGGCGGTTCCAAGGATTAGGTTGTTATTGAAAAAAAATGAAAAACAAGCTGGTTTATTAAGAAACAGAGTCAGTCACAATGTTCTTATAAGCAACATTGCAAACAGCTTTTTCATCGCAACAACTCAGCTTCTCCCTTCCTAAGCATGTTTCTCCACCAAATCTGAAATAAAACACTTTCAATACACCAAAAACCTTTGGTTCACTGACTACTACTTAGCATTAAAAAAAGAAAAAAAAAAGAAATTGCTAAAGCTTGCTTATTTTTATAATGTAAAACCTGGTGAAGATATAGCCTAATATATTTGCTAGTGTTAGTTCTGCAAATAATAGACTCAGGGGAGCCAAATAGAAATGCGCACCACATTATTAGAAGTGTATATATATCAGGAAGGAGGTAACTCAGGCAGCCACTCAGCCGTAACCAGGGGTGCTGGGATGTTTTATCAGGCTTGTTTTGGGGCTGTTAATGGGATTTTTTTTTTTTTTTTTTTTTTTTTTCAGATGCAACTGATTTATTTTCATTAGTGAGGCAAAAGTACAGAAGTGCTTGTTGTGGAACACAACATTTTTTCTTTTATAATTAAAGTTTTTTATTTTGTTTTAGGAACATGTAACAAAAACAACAAACAAAAACAAAAAACAAAACCAGTCAGGTAAACATTGTTGATTGTAAGGCCGCATTCACATCCATCACACATTGCCCTGGTTCCCACCCAATTAAATACAGACTGGACATCTAATTAAGTCCCGCTTAGCTTGACCGATCCTGGTCTTGTCCAGGTTCAGTTCAAAATTTGGTACTCCTTAATTTAATATGTTTAATGGGTATTTTTTAACTCAAAATTTCAAGCATAATGGTTACAGTGATAACTTTTTTTCATGAGAAATACAAAATGAACTTTAACCGAAAAACCAAAAACCATCTGGCTGAAAGGGTATCTGCCAGATTTACATTGAATTTATCTGAAGACCCTCAATTATGAAGACTTAATCAGAGGATGGAGGAGTAAAAAAACATCATTGCATTATAAGACAGAGGAGTGTGTTTTCTCTACTGGAGAGCAATATAAAATGGAGGATATAAATAGAAGTGTGTTATGGTTTGACCTTGTGTGGCCATTTGGTGGTGGGTGTCTGAGCTTGGACAGTAATGCTGCCATCATTGAACACGAGTCTGGCTGGTTCATAAATCATGATTTGTTTTCCATCTTTGGACTGTCCTCCATAAGGACCTTCGTTCCTGTAACATTGAATTCATTTTCTTTAACCTTACTTTAATCAGTATCGTCATTGAATTTGTAGAAAAATCAGTTGATAAGACAGCATTAATGGATGACACTGGTACCCTTTCTCATTGTATTATGCAACATTTTGCGAAATATGATGTTCAGGTGATAAATGTTTCACTGTAGGTCTTATTTTCTACATGTCTTAAACCGGTTCAGTGAGTGTACATTTAAACTGAATAATTAAATATCTAGGAAAAAAGAAGACAAAAAAAAACTGTTATCTTTCCCCTCATCATGCCCTGTGGTGGCGCTCAAGGGCCATGTTGTAGGGAGCCCTTTATGAGGGGCCATCCCGGCGCTATGGAAAGCAAAGCTTTTGCTCGGCATTGACTTGGCTCTATTGAGTCCTTCAAGCCAAGACCAACAGCATGAGTTCACCGCAGAGTGTGAAGCAGCAAGGATAAAGATCAAGCTCCTTAAAGTCTGAATGTTTCCCTATTGGAAAAATATGGCTTACCCCATTAAGGTCGGGCAAGAGTTACTGCCCCAGGTGGAGAAGTCCAGATATCTTAATGGTCCTGTTAAGTGAGGGGAAGATTAAAAGGAATATCAGTAGACATACAGTAGTAGCTATTCAAAATTTCCCCACTTTCCTTGATGACTCCTTGGCTGGTTTTTGTCTGGTCCCCTTGAATTCTTTTTTTAATCATAAATATTTGTACTAAAATATTCTTTCTGACATGATTTGCGGACATTAAGATCTAAAGAGAAGTGTCATCTCCTGGTCAGATCCTGTTATTCAGTGAAAGGGTGGGGGTCACTGCAGTGACTGGAAGTTGGAGGGGATTTTGCTGGGAGTTGAAAGGAAGTGGGCTGCCATTCGGCCGGCGTTTGATTAAAAGGGCCATTTTGAATGGCTGCTACTGTATCAGTGTCATTGACACTACAATGCAGATTGGCTGTTTTGGTGAGGAGAGCGCCGAGCAAAAGGCAAAGCTCTTCATATACAAGTCAGTCTACGTTCCTACCCTCACTTATGGTTGTGAAATCTAGATTATGGCTAAAAGAATGGGACCCTGGATACAAGTGGCTGAAATGGGCTTTTCACAGGGTGGCTGGGCACGTCTTCAGAGATAGGGTGAGGAGTTCTGTCAGCTGGGAGAGGCACAGATGGGGGTCGCTTCTTCTCCATATAGTGAGAAGTCAGCTAAGGTGGCTAGGACGTCTTTTTCTGAGGCCCCCTGGATGCCTCCAAGCCAGGTGCTCAAAGCACGTCCCTTGAGGAAGAGGACCGTGGACGGCCCAGAACATGTTGGGAACTGGGAAGAGGGACATTTGGGAGTCTCTGCTGAGGCTGCTGCCACTGTCCCGAATAGGGATACCAAAGAAGATCTGTCAAAAACTTGGTGTCCCTGTTTGATTTTTTAAAAAAAATTTACGGGGGTTTTTGTAAAAAAAAAACAAAACACAGGGTCAGTATTTTGATTATAGATTCGATTTTATGCATAACCTCCACCACAACACAAAATGAAATCACCAAAAGATTTCTTCTAGCAGTTTCTGCAGTCCTGTCACATTATTTTGTTAAACATTGTCCTGCTCTGGTGAAATGGCTTAGATTTCAAGCTGAGTTTCCATTTTCAAGCTTTTCATGAAGCTTGCCGTTACGCATCTTTTTTTGTTCCAAACCCATTTTTGATGTGCACTTGGAAAAGTGCACTTGGGTCTTGTGGTCACATCACATTTATTGAAATTTCAATTTTGGAGGTATTAACTTTAGGTAAAATAAAATAATTTAGAGGGTGTTCTTTATTGTTCCAACTAT